TTTTCGTTGCTTTTTTGACATTCAAAAATATTCTGAATTTAACCAACAGGAACTTATCTGACAGTCACAATGGGAATGACGTCACTGTCCCTCTTCATGACAGTTTTCATCTTAAATCTTCACCATGTTACCCCTCATCGACAGGGTGTTCCAAGATGGTTACGATTTCTATCCCATGACGTCCTGTCCCGTATCCTTTGTTTGAAACCGCGAGCTAAACCTTTTGTGCGTCTCTATACAAATGAAGCGGGCGTAGATATTGAAACCCAAATTGCAGACGACAATGGAACAAAGAATGATATTGCTACATTGTTAAACATGTTAGCGGGGAAACAGTATGTAGACGAACACCAACAGAAAATTACAGACGAGTGGAAATTTGTAGCCCTAGTCTTGGACAGATTGCTTTTTTGGATTTTTCTGATTGGAAACGCGCTAATTTCAGTGATCATTTTATGCATTCTGAGAGATTAAAGAAAAACAGGAATACATTTACAGAAATTCTTATGCCATAAATATATTCCTATAAGCTTTATCCGCAAACGTTTTCCCCTTATATATTAATTCTAATACTTTTTAAAGCGTTTTATGACCAACAAATAAAATGACAAGTTACAATCTCTGGTTATTTTTCTTTTTTCCCTTTTCAAACGTGTTTTAAAAGTTTAACAAATGGCAAGTCACTTGTCAATCAACGCTGTGGAATCAAATCCAGAGTAAGGATATGTTAGGATACATATCTACTTCAAATTTAGCTTACAAAGACTGTTCCTGTTGCATAAATGCATAAATGTGAATCTTATAATACGGCATATTGTTTTCAGTAAAAAGAATTATTTTGAATGACTTAGTGTTACATTGATCTTAATCTAAGAAGGACCAAACATGCGTCCTGCACATCGACCCATTATGGTTAGTATGCCTGTCAGTTAGTTAAGATTTCCTTCTATCGGTTCAAATTATACTGAATGGACTGGAAATAGCTTACGGACTGACGGACGAGCAGTTGTAAAATATTATCATAGTATGTATTACGCTAAATTTCTTTCTGTTCTTGTTAATTTTCGCAATGGGCAAAATGCAGATAAAAATGGACTTTAGGACAAAAATCTTAGTCCTTGACATTCACCTTAACACGTGACAATTTGAATGAATATCTGGAGTGCGTGGAGACAGCACTGGCACACATAATGCTAATCAAGAATTGTCCTTGCTCACCAAGAGAAATGACACAGTAAGGAGTGCATGCTAATTTGTGAACCTTAATGCTATTTTCCCGGAAAGGAAAAAAGTACAAAAAAAATATCATTGTTAATTTACCTCGACTACCCTGCCTCCTCCAAGTTGAAAAATGAATTGGAACATTTGCATTCTAAATGAAAAATAGTATGTTCGAAGTAATGAAACACATATTCAGTGTTACCATACTTTTGAGAGGTGCTTTTGATCACAAAAGTTAAAATATTTTTCTCCATTTCCATCATAAAGGAAGTCAATGGTAAAACAAGGATTATGGTCAAATGTCCATAATACGTTTTTCGCTTCTTGATTTTATCATTCCTAGAGTTATAGAACTTTGACAGACAAAAAATCAAAGTTCTTAAATTGCTGATGGTCGGCGGATTTTAATATTAACATTATGTTGTAAAGGCGTTGCATCTTTTTCATTGATAAGTCCATGATTTAATAATTCAATAAAACTATTTTACAAGAATACATACGTTACATATAGTAATGACCATGAAAATTGGACTGTTACTTTGTAACTTTATCCGAAAGTACAAACAAGAATATGGAAAATTATAGAAATATGCTGAATCCATTCTTATCAATTTAGCCTTAATTTCATTTTTAAAATCCAAACTCTATACAGTTTTCAAACCATTTCTTTTGTCGATATATTTACAACTATATTCCGATTCAAAGTTATAAAATACTTGTTTGATATACACATGTACATTAAATTTATATTATAGTACTTTATAATGAAAATTTACTGTATATGTTTATATCAAAACAAACAAATTCAGTTTTATTTTCGATATTTATTAATTTAACAATTTCGCTTAAAAGTAATTAATGAATTAAATCAAAAGCTTGGAAATAGAAAGTTAGCATGCCTTTATTTTGAATTCCGCTGTATTCAGTGCAGGAAAAGGCAGTATCATTATGCCAATCTAAGGGTAAATGGTGAGTTCACATAAGGCATAAGTAAAGAAAATAATTTTATATACATTAATTCTACAAATGTTTTATCTTTTAGAATTATCTGAAAAGTTCGGTTTAATAAAAAGAGTTGGGCAGTCTTTTATATTGATTTCGGGCAGGTTTTATGTATAACCATTTTTATGAAAAAATCTTTGGTTAATGAACATTAAAATAGTCAAATTATTTATTGAAATTGAGAATTGTTGGCAGATAATTATCTTACTTTTGGTGTGGAATGAGAAAGTAAGTCACTCCGTCACTGTCAAGGCCATATTGCTAAATTTCAGATTTACGGCTTAATGATAACCGCAGTATAAACACATCTGTGCATGTTTCTAAATTCAAAATTTCACCATTACCATAATTAAATGTCGAGTTCAGCTTAAGTCTGTGTTGGGGTGTGTGGATAGTATCTTGCACTTTACAGTGCCGTCCATGAACAGGCTCAATCAAACCGAGCGTGTAACATTTTCAATATCGTTGCTTTGTGCGTTCTTTATGGATTCTGTTGCTTCTATTTTAGGTTTAATTAATTGTGTAAACCCTTCATTATGAGCAAATCAGTGCATTAATTCATATACATACAAGTCCATGTGATGAGCCGTTTTCCTCTTGTCACTTTAAAAAAATAATATTGCATCAATTTAAATCCGTTGCTTTTTTCTCTTATTAAATACACATTGTTGCAATTGATACCTGGAAAGAGACGATCCCCTTGGGAGAAGAAAACACTTTAAGATCATGAATCAAATATGTTAATTGCAGTTCTACACCATTTATTCACTTGTAAATCTTGTTGCTATTTGCATAATTGTTATTGTTTTGCTACAATAAGTCGAATTGGAAAAACACGACAGTCAGATATCGCATGGACCGAACGACATTAGAGGCTACCTTAACATTCAAAACACGAAATCACGTTCACTTATTATTTTGGGCTGATTTGGATTTTAATTATCGGATGTATTTAAATGGATAATAAATAAGCTCGATGGGTAAGAAAAGTAAAAGAAATAACACCTCTATCTTTCTGTCTGTCTGTCTATATCCGTCCACCCGTCCGTCCGTGCGTCTGCACGTCCATCCATCAATCAATTCATTCACTCACTCACTCACTCACTCACTCACTCACTCACACACTCACTCACTCACTCAACTCACTCACTCACTCACTCACTCACTCACTCACTCACTCACTCACTCGCTCACTTATTCATTCAGTCGTTCGTTCGTTCGATTGTTCGTTCGTTCTTTGATTCAATCATTTATTCATTTATTTACTTATTTATCTATTCGGTCGTTCGTTCGTCGTTCAATGACATAACGGTAGACTGATACTCTAGTCTTTTGTTTGCATGCTACATCATGCACAACGTGAAATAAAAACACTGCGTGCCAAAACATTCACAAACACCTTGAATGTTAACACTGCTATATTTCCACGATTCTGCCGCCGCTGGCATTTATGCAAAGTTCAAGATGATAAGTTAATCTGGTAAAACGATTCTCGTCTCTAAATGAACCATGCATCCTGATGTAATTTGGCTTACAAACGATATAATGATATGCATCGCAGATCTGATATTTCGGTATACAGATAATTTCGGTTATTAACATTTGTTGGATAATTGCCTCAGTGACTAGAAAAGGGTATTTATTACTATTATATTTCAATTAGACAATGGACACAGAGGAATTTCTAGTTTTTCTAAAAGTATTTTTTAATGATAGACAGACGCGAAACTGCTACATACAAGGTAGGTTCTGTTAAATTTCGTTTTGTCTTCACAATATTTTGTTTTACAGTTTTGTTGTTTGTTTTACTTTTTGTATTGTTATTTGTTTGTTCATTTGTTTGTAGAAGCTCGGGAAAGTAGCATCGATAATCATGACATGAGGAACTGGAAACATATGGCCTTTTAACTAACAAAGTCTGTAAAATATAATGAACAAACCAAAATATGTATATTAGTATGTTTTCAGTTTAAGAAAGAAGAAATTATTGCCAGTGTAACATTTATCTTATTGTTATCAAGGAAAAAAAATACTAAGAGGATATTTTTTCGTTTGAGTGAAATATGGAATATATTTTCACGAAACATGATAAAATGCCACATATTTTCACGAGCCGGGACGGCGAGTGAAAATATGAGGCATTTTATCATGTTTCGTGAAAATATATACCATATTTCACGAAAAACGAAAAAATAACTTTTTTATTTAATTTTATTATCAAAGAAAAATGGTTATGAACCCCCTTGCCTGCTACGCAACTGCAATTATACAGCGCGCAGTAATATAAGTATCGTCTTGTTTTGCACGCAATATTTAGCGCTAGATTGTGACGTCACGTAAACAACTTTTTAAACGTCTGTACAGCGTTAATGACTTAATTAAAGATATTGGTGTTCGGATTTATTTTCTTAGTTAGACCATTTTCTATCATTCTAGATAGTTTTCAAAACAAAATTCAACATAAAAGTTGTATTTATCAGATTTTTTAAACAAAATGGCGAAAGAAGTCCCTTAAAATAAATATGAGTTTCGACTCCGCCCACTTTCATATTTATATTTCATATTTATTTTTAAAAAATATGAAATATATTTGACTGATATAGCACCATATTTCATAGGTAAAATTAAATAATCCCATATATTTAATTTCCGCAAAGCACAGAAAATACGTGCTTGAAAATGATGGTCTATCCTGCTACCGTCATTTTGTGCATGTCGTTATATAAATGCTTGAATCAAGTCTTTATTATTAATAAATAAATATTTTATATTTCCAGATCTCGATTGGATAAATTTGGCTGTATAAAAATGTCATCATCCGTAAAGAGGCGATACTTCGGTTGTTTTATTTTATATCTAGTAAACAATGTGTTAATTTGTTCCACCGCTAACATTACAAGTGATGAAGATCGACTGTATGAGGTGTTATTCAAAAATTATAATCCAGCAACAAGACCAGTAAACAATGCCTCAGATACCGTAAATGTTCGGATAACGGTATCACTCATTCAAATCAAAGATATGGTAAGTTTAAATATGATTTGTTTAATCGTCTTATAAATTAATCAAACACATTCCAGTCTTAAACCCTGATACATCAACTTTCCAATGTTCCAGTTACAAATATATATATATAACTACGTTTACTACAATTATTTATTTTTTTTTATCTTATCCGAACTCATAATGGTTCTTAATTGTGCTCTTAGGTTATATCGTGATATTTTAGTTTAATTTATTTTCTTATTAATCTACATTTTAATAATTTATAAAGTATATGAGTATGGAATGCCTTTGGTTTGCTACATCAAAGTTTACATTTTATTGCACTGTACTAGTGAACAATGTAATTTCACTACTATGTGTAACAACTGTACGTAATTATGCAGTTTTAAATGCCACTATTAACTTGCATTGAATGTTACTAATTATATGCTTAATGGTAATAATGATTATTAAGAATAATTGAATGGATATTTTCTGGAAATATTCTCATGGATAGGTATCTAAAATGTTCCACACTTATACTATGTTGAGCGTGATAATTAATACTTTTTGCGTCCTTAAAATGCGTGGTCCATGCATCTTTGTTCGTGCTTTAACATATGAATAAGCAGACCAAATGAAAGTCTGAGTCCGCAAAGGTTTCCGTAGATGCTGTGGTCTGAAAAAGGTTCATTACCGCTATTCCAGCATAAACATTACGTCTGATTCGTTAATCGAGCGTTTTGTTAACTATTTTTCGTATAAAATTATCAGTTTACCATGCTTTTCACGTGCAATTACCAGTTATTTTTCGATAATGAAACTATTCGTCACAGGACCGTGGGCTATCTTTACATGGCACCCTGAGTTAAAAAAGACACAACAACAACGGCGAATGCTTGCGTGATTTTATTAAATGAAATTTATGTTTTCTTCTCCCGTTAATTTGATATATACCTTCATGCAGGAATGTAATTGATGTGTTACATTCCAAAGCATTGCTATAACTTTCAAAAATATGGAAAGAATTACAGATTCGATTTGATTGCACCTGTTCAAGAGATAAAATAAAAGGTGGAATATCTCTCATGCCTATGGTGGCTGAGTTGTACCATTAGGGCTTTTGCCGCGTTTTTATTAATTCTCGACTACTCGAATGGCAAAATTCAGCCACCATACACGCCCCCATCCCAAACACTGGTTTATCAATAAGCCAAATTCTAAAGGACTAGAAAATTCTAAGTAATACAACATATGTAAACACCATGTTGTTAGATTGTTTTTACGTCACACCCATACAGTATATATAAGTCATATGGAAACGCCATGTGATTATTATATTTAAGTGTAAAAGTTTTTTCCAGAACATTATTATTTAAGTAAATCATCCTATATTAATTTAAGCGAGTAACTTGACACACGACTTGACAATGCAAGTTTGAATCCGTTGAATGTTTTTAAAAGTTGACTTAAAAGTAATGTCCTACATTTCTAAAGACTTTCTAATAATTTGTTTAGATACTTTGCTTCGGTCTTTGCTTAAGATTCTTAGTAATAATTAGCATGCATTCTTGCATTAAACTACAAACAATGTGACACAAGTATTATCTTCTATATGGCATTTTAAATACATGTATCTAAAAAAAAAAAAATAAAAACTGAAAAATTACATGTAAAATGCAGAGTCGGTTTGATTGAATCTGTACATGAGGGTTAATGAAAAAGTGCAACATCTCTCAAGCCCCCTAGCACCGGTGTGAGCGGTACTCAATTTTCAACACTTAGAGGTGCTGGACTCAATAATCTAATTAAAGCCTGAATTCAAACGGATTTCTAGCTTGTGAATGTATGTTTTGTTGTATAAAAAGTAATCATATTATCATTATAATTAAATCTGAAAATAATTTATATTGCAGGATGAAACTAATCAAGTTTTGCGCACACATATGTGGCTACACCAAGTAAGACTTTTGACTTACATGTATTTGTTTTAATCAGTTTTACTCTAATCTTTGACCTGCTTGATCCAAAAGTGTTTAACCTTTGCTATTCTGCTGTCTTACAGGACTTTATCCTATTGTGTTTTTTTGTATTTTGTTGCAATCCCTATAAAATTAAATAAATCATTCCAAATTCGATGAGACAGAACAATTCCATTACAGTAGATGATGTTTCAAATGAGACATTTCCAGTTAATATTTCCATATTAATCGACAAAAACATTAATGTTTGGCACATGTAAAACAGAAACAATGGGCATGACGTAAAGTGGTTGCACACTTGGTTCAAGCGAGCGAATTGGTTGCAAACTTGACAAAATGGCAAACACGGCGTGATTTTTTGAAACGGGTGAACGAATTTTTGCCAGGCAAGTAGGTTTCTTTGTTATTTTGAAGTTCATTAGTATGTCTATTCCATAATGCAATATATATGCCACACTCGGTTAAAGGTTTCAGCATCCTAGATTCTGTTTTGACGAAGTTATTGAAGATATAAACTGATCATGTAGATATTTTGAAATTTGACATGTGACTGTTCTGGTCGGTTTTTCTCCTAATTTATTCGAATTTGTAAGTTTTGAACTGCATTTAACAATAACAAAATATGTTTCTGTCAATGCTGTACAAATGGTTTAGTTCGCAAGTCCGAAGATAACATTCAATACACAAAAATATATTGTTCAAGCACATTTTGGTTGCAGACTTATACTTCAAGCATTTTTGGTTGCAAACTTTTGTGTCAATAATGTGGCATGCATATTTTTAGCGAGGAATAACTTATCTTTTTTTTAAATAATTAGCAATATTAAGGCAATTATACCCGTTCATCTAATAAGAAATATATATACAAATTGTGCATGCGTGCAGATATATCCTAACACAGGGTCTTTCAAATAGATATAAAACACAATATGCTAAATTGAAGTTCAGTTGTGTTTATCTTCATCATTTTTCTCCTCGATATACTTCTTTTCTTTTTACAAAGTCTTAGGACTTTTTTTATATCTTGGCATGACTAACTATAAAGGAAAAGAAGAGAAAAATAGCAACAAACAGCTTTCATTATTGTTCTTTTTTTGAGATTTGAAATAAATTTGATTGTATAGTAGATACAAACTATATTAACATTGACACAAGGGCATTATTCACATGTGTCTTTAAATTGTTCCTTATTATTGACCAATCGAAACATCTTCCAAATTCCCTAACTCGAACAATGACTTTAAGTAGTTTTGTCACATATCAGTCAATGTAAATTACCAATCGTATATCAGTTATATTATGATCTAATAGTCAAAATAATTTTTAGAATACCAATTGACATAAAATTAATATATGTACATCAAATCCGAAATGTTGTAAACAAGCATGTCATTTTAACTTTTGGTTTATAAGTACATTTACATACTTTATGTCTAAAGCAACTGCTGATCTTTACATACGAAACAAACAAAATAACATTTATTGTGGTTTTGATAAACTTTGGAAATTTTGCCGAGTAACATCGTATGTGAGCACATGTCCTTATGTTTATAATGAAAATAATTCACTTACATACAGCAGTACTCTCACATACGTTTTTTTTGTCTGTAGTTTTCATTTGCATTTTACATATGCTGACATATTTTAGAATTGAAGTATCAATAAATATTTTTCTTCTATGTGCTATTATTTTGTTTGCAGGCTTTTACTGATGATTATAGTATTGAACTGAGAACCATGTAATTTGAAACATAAAGTGCATACTTGTTGTAAAAGAAGAAAGTATAAATAACATTTATAAAAAAACAAGTAAAAGAATGTCAATAATTGCCATTGAAAATAGGTTAATAAATATAAACTACTACAATCCTTTTGCAAAGTTTTACTATGGATTTCAATAGAATAAGAATAAGTTTACAACCAAAAATGCTTGAGGTATAAGTCTGCAACCAAGATGTGCTTGAACAAGATATTTTTGTGTATTGAACGTTATCTTCGGACTTGCGAACTGAACCATTTGTACTGCATTGACAGAAACATATTTTGTTATTGTTAAATGTAGTTCAAAACTTACAAATTCGAATAAATTAGGAGAAAAACCGACCAGAACAGTCACAAGTCAAATTTCAAAATATCTACATGATCAGTTTATATCTTCAATAACTTCGTCAAAACAGAATCTAGGATGCTGAAACCTTAAACCGAGTGTGGTATATATATTGCATTATGGAATAGACATACTAATGAACTTCAAAATAACAAAGAAACCTACTTGCCTGGCAAAGATTCGTTCACCCGTTTCAAAAAATCACACCGTGTTTGCCATTTTGTCAAGTTTGCAACCAATTCGCTCGCTTGAACTAAGTGTGCAACCACTTCACGTCCTGCCCCTTGAGAAAACAACATGAATGTTATATAGACAATGCGAATTTATGACAAAGATAATACTACTTATTCATGGAAGATCATATTTATATGTAATAGAAAGTATGTCGACTTGAAGGTACATTTAGTCTAAGAAATAAATGCGCTTTGCTTCTTTTCTATGCGTAGCGAACTTGCTTTTGTAATGTTTAAAATTATAGTTTTTAAGAACGTTGAATGCAGTGTTGAATGTGATGAAATTATTTATAAAAGTTGTAAATTTTAAACACCATCCTCATAATCATAATCATCATCTTTATCATCATCATCATCATCATCATCATCATTATCAACAACAACAACATCATCATCATCAACAAAATCATCATCATCAACATCATCATCATCAACAACATCAGCATCATCATCAACAACATCATCATTATCAACATCATCATCATCATCAACAACAACAACAACATCATCATCATCATCATCATCATCAACATCATCATCATCGTCATTATCATCATCAACAACATCATCATCATCAACAACATCATCATCATCATCAACATCATCATCATCATCAACAACATCATCATCAACAACAATATCATCATCATTTTTTTCAGCATCGTCGTCAACAACAGCAACAACAATAAGTAAAAATAATTTTATATTTGTTTTTTTCCACCATACCATTTTAGTAAGAATTATTTGCATATACATTTGTGTATGTATTTCATTATATTTGAAACAATGGAAAACAACAATAAATGACATATTTTTATTACTTAAAGGCCCATTATGCCTCAATAATACTATCATTTTTATTTCTCAAAAACGTTTGATTTTTTTCGTATCTGTAAAAAGTTCCAAAGCAATACTAACTTGCCATACTTTTGCCACTTTAGCCCTGTTGGCAATGGATATGATTATAGCAAATTAGTATTTTGTATGGAAGTCAAAATACTTCTATGATTACATTTTGCTACTTTAACGACACAATTCTACACAATCAGAGCTACTTTCTTCAGTTCTTAGACATCTAACATACTCTTCATCCATTTTAAAAACATTATTAAGCACATGTCATTTCTAAATAATTAAACATTTTCTGAGGCATGATGTGACTTAAATCAAGTAACTTTGCTTTACATCTAAAGCACTGGAAAGACGAGAGCTTAAATTGGAACCCTGATCACTATAATGGACTGGAGGAAATCTATGTACCGTCTGATACTATTTGGTTACCGGATGTGATGTTATACAATAGGTACGTATGCCATAATACTAGTGATATACTTTTAATTTGCTAGATAAATTTAATTAGATGTCATTTACCATTTCTTTCATAAAACCAACAAAATTCAGTGCAAAAATGAAAAAAAGATATAAGCGGTGTTGTGTTTAGGATTGCGAACAGTACTGATTCTGTACATCGAGTGATGTAAAAATCGGAGCTGCTCGACAGTTTTCCTCAAAGCTGATTTAGTACATTTTACCGAGTAAGAGGTTAAAAAGCTGGAAAGTCGCCTTGTATGAACTTTACAATATTTGTGCGACGTAAAACCACTTATTAACATTTACATTATTCCTGTTCAAATATACTAGAAATAACGTATAACTGATAACTACTTAAAATAGATTTACTACAAGAAACCATTTCAGAAAATACTTTCATCAGAAACTTACATATCCAGAATTTAGTTATGATGTGATATATGACGTCATTTGTCTCTAATCGCGCGCAGACAAACTATTTCACATGTCTTTGTCGAGAAACCTGTAATAATATGTGTTTGACTCAACATCAAGTAATAGAAAGAGCATCGAAACACGAGGCTATCTGATTTGTACGAGGGGGCGTAGCCCCCGAGTATAAATCAGATTGCCGAATGTTTTGGTGTTCTTTCTCATTTGTATCATAGTCAATCATAAAAACACGTTCCCTGATACCACAATATGAAACCCTACAAAAAAGTAACCAATGAACGAGCATCTGAATATGACATTTCCATCGCTATCCCTTTCTCTGTCGTCACAATATGTAAACCCCGGACAAAATGAACCAATCGATGGGCATGCTCTAGAATGCGGGTAACTAATACCTGCAATCCAGTTAACGCACTGTGCATGTATATGTATACGATTTAACTCTGTTACATTTTCAACAAAAAGGTCCCCAAACTATGATACAAACAACGTTTAGAATCTCTGCTTGTTTTCGAGAATGCTTACAGTTCTTTATATATGACATCGGATGTATTACTTATTTAATAAATAACAATTTTAACTTTTATATTTTTGAGCTTTATTTTGTTTCTTGCAATCGATGATTTACTGTATTTCAGTGCCGACGATTCTAAATCCGGTAAAATGCAGGGCAATGTGATCATAAATTCTAACGGTATGGTAGTATGGCCCCAGTCGTTACAGTTACACAGTTCATGTGCCATGAATATACGTAACTTTCCTTTTGACGTACAGAGTTGTTTTCTGAAATTTGCCTCATGGACACACAATGGATTAAAAGTAAATATTATATTTACCATTGCCTGAAGAGTATGATAAAGCCATTTTTTTATTTATTAACGATATTACACTTATGTGTGATGTCATTGAGTTATATAACATAGCGTAACGTTATATATCATAGCGTAAAGTTATATAACATAACGTAAAGTTATATAACATAGCGTAAAAACGTGTTTATTTTAGCGCTAAACTACCGACAACTCAATGAAAAAATGACCCATTTTTGTATTTTCTGATCGCAAGATCAGTAAATACATAGCTAACATCCACGGTCTAACACAAAATTTCCTCACAGACCTAACAACGCAAAGTAGTTTTCACTCAAAACTGCATAAAAACCAGCAATTTAAAAGAAAGAATAATTTTTTAATGTAGGCATTAAACGAATTACAGTCCATTTAAAGTTTACATTAGTCAATAGAAATATGAGGTTACAATCACAAATTTCGCGGATGAATATCTTTTTTAACCAATGAAAAATGTTCGACTATTTCCGTAAAGCTTAATCAATGAAAATGCTATTTTAGCTAGGTCGATTACCGAATACTCCAGAGCGTAGTACACAAATAAATCTGACTGTCGAGTAATGGAATTTATACATGTCGGACTGTTTTGGCGAGAAGATTTTCACTAAATTATTTTCATCAGTGTTTAACAACAGGTTTATCGTGGACAAAATACCTCGAAATTAATAAGGATTACAAATACGAAAAGGAAATTCTCAATTTTAGAATTACAATATATTTGTTTTTATTCACGCTACATACGTATTACTTCACTGTGGTGCAGAGGTAGCGCGCTCGTTTAGGGTGTGAGAGGCCTAAGGTTAAAATCCTTGTCGAGGCAATATTTTTTTTGAAGTGTCTTTTTTTAAGGAAGTAGCCACGATATGCAAGGATAAAGTGTGGCTGTAATAAAAAATGAAAAATGATTTTTGATGCAACTCTAGGCATGCAAAATTCCATATGTATCAATCACAAACTGTTAAACGCAGTCGCTGCGTAAGATGAATAATAGTATATAAAAATAAACTTATACAGGAAAGATCACAAAATACCACAGAGCATGCAGCCCTTTGATTGCATTTTCTGATCGCAAGATCAGTAAATACAAAGCTAACACCCACGGTCTTACACAAAATTTCCTCACAGACCTAACAACACAAAGTAGTCCTTACTTAAAACTGCTTAAAAACCAGCAATTTAAAAGAAAGAATATTTTTTAATGTAGGCATTTAACGAATTACAGTGCATTCAAAGTTTACATTAGTCAATAGAAATATGAGGTTACAATCACAAATTTCGCGGATGAATATCTTTTTTACCCAATGAAAAATGTTCGACTATTTCCGTAAAGCTTAATCAATGAAAATGCTATGTTTAGCTATGTCGATTACCGAATACTCCAGAGCGTAGTACACAAATAAATCTGACTGTCGAGTAGTGGAATATATACATGTCGGACTGTTTTGGCGAGAAGATTTTCACTAAATTATTTTCATCTGTGTTTAACAACAGGTTTATCGTGAACAAAATAACTCGAAATTAATAAGGATTACAAATACGAAAAGGAAATTCTCAATTTTAGAATTACAATGTATGTGTTTTTATTCAAGCTACATACGTATTACTTCACCGTGGTGCTGAGGTAGCGCGCTCGTTTAGGGTGTGAGAGGCCTAAGGTTCAAATCCTAGTCGAGGCATCATTTTTTAGTGTCTTTTTAAGGAAGTAGCCACGATATGCAAGAATAAAGTATGGCTGTCATAAAAAATGAAAAATGATTTTTGATGCCACTCTAGGCAAGCAAAATTCCATATGTATCAATCTCAAACTGTTATGGAAAAAAATCTAAACGCAGTCGCTGCGTAAGATGAATCATAGTATATAAAAAAATAAACTTATACAGGAAAGATCAGAATACCAGAGAGCATGCAGCCCTTTGATTTTATAAGAAAACCGTTCTAATTTTGGGTATCTGAAACATTAGAAATTTTATTCGTGTAGAGCCTAGATACTACACTTAATTTATTGAACTCACTGAAAAAATTCAACTTACACCCCCCAAAAACAAAACAACAAAAAAAAAGAAAAGAAAAAAAAACAACAACAAACACCACCACCAACAACAACAACAGAGAAAAATGATAAGATGAACAACAAAAAACAACAACAACAATACCCCTAAAAAAACAAAAACAAAAAACAAAAAAACAAAACAACAATATATTGCTCGCCATAGTTTTACAGTATGTGATTTATTTAAATCGTTCAATAAATTTAGTAATGAGCATACATCTTTTCAATATCCTTTATTATTTACCTGTTTATATGTCGTACTAGTGGACAAAGACAGATTTATTAAATTTATATAGAAAATACAGTGGCACAGAGGTGATATGTCTGTGTTTTCATTTATGTCGTGCGCACAAGATACTTTGTCGTTAACACAACTCCTAACTGCTTTTTTATGTTTAAAGCAATTTAAAGAATTTTATTTATTAGTACCAGGACGCTTCCGTAACAATTATCTCGAAAACAAAAACACAGAAAAAACCATAAATGGAGTCGCTTTAAAAAGTTACATGTTCTGTCCAAAATATGTAACAATATTTGTTTTGTTTCTTTGCTTTTTTTTTTTTTGGGGGATGATAATAATTTTTTTTTGCGTCATGCGCAGTTAATAGGTATCTTTGTGCACCCAATGACTATCCATACCCCATTTTGACTACCATTGACTTTCTTTAGCAACCAGTGAGCTTTGTTGTAGTAGCAACCAGAGACTTCAATAGCAACCACTGAATTTCCTTAGCAACAACTGACTTTCCATAGCAACTGTTCATTAAAAGTTAACAATATTACTTTTTATTTGTCATTAGCAGTATTTACATTCAGGTGAACGATAAATAACGGTCATAATGCCCCTCTTGTTGTTTTTTGTTTTTGTTTTTTATTGAAAAGATTAATTTATGTTATAAATACGATGTTAATCTTTGTTTTATCATAAAGTTTGATAGATTTAAGAGCATTTCTTCATCTAGTTTTGTGCTAGCATACAAAACATCAGCATAGTAATCCCAAACTTCATATCAAATTTCAGGTCAATCTATCCATATATTATGGAAAAATTGAAGATCTTTCGGAGTATTTCTTCTCTAATACAGAATGGAACCTAGATGAATTCAAGGCTAAAATAAATCGGTTAGACTATGCCTGTTGTCCAGACTTCTACGTTGATTTCACAGTAACAATGATCATACGACGTAGACCTTTATATTACTTTTATACCATAATTTGTCCATGTTTGTGGCTGACAGTTTTGAACTTACTTGTGTTTCTGCTACCAGCAGAAAGTGGAGACAAGGTTTCACTTGGAGTTACGGTATTCCTAGCATTTTCCGTATTTATGCTGGTAATTTCGGAAAAGGTTCCAGTGTCGTCACAATCTGTACCATTGATTGGTATGTACATCTACATTATACTGCTTCAAAATTGTAATCGATTACACTTAGCAGGCAGTAGATCTGATATTAAACGATCATTTACGATCGAATTATTTTACAATGTCATCAGAGCATTTTTATAGTAATTTTAACAAACAAATGTTTTTAATACTACAAGTGCTAAGAAAAAATTATTGCGTTAGCCGGTGCAAGAGAGGGTGTGATATTTTATTTATTCATTTTACTTTTCATTACTTTTGGATGAGCTCCCGTTTTCTAATTGTTTTTTTGTCTATGTCTATGATGCATAAATCATAAACCTTAACCTTGAATAAATCAAACAAATGAATATGTATCAAAAGTAAAATCAAAGGAAGAAGAAACTGTTTCATTTTGCTGAATTTAAATTTACTTAAATTCAAACTTAAAACGGAAATGGTATACATAAGTTATTCCAAGTGATAATAATTTATTAATATTTTTTCGTTGCTTTTTTTGACATTCAAAAAATATTCTGACTTTAACCAACAGGAACTTATCTGACAGTCACAATGGGAATGACGTCACTGTCCCTCTTCATGACAGTTTTCATCTTAAATCTTCACCATGTTACCCCTCATCGACAGGGTGTTCCAAGATGGTTACGATTTCTATCCCATGACGTCCTGTCTCGTATCCTTTGTTTGAAACCGCGAGCTAAACCTTTTGTGCGTCTCTATACAAATGAAGCGGGCGCAGATATTGAAACCCAAATTGCAGACGACAATCGAACAAAGAATGATATCGCTACATTGTTAAACATGTTAGCGGGGAGACAGTATGCAGACGAACACCAACAGAAAATTACAGACGAGTGGAGATTTGTAGCCCTGGTCTTCGACAGATTACTTTTTTGGATTTTTCTCATTGGAAACGCGCTAATTTCAGTGATTATTTTATGCATCCTGAGAGATTAAAGAAAAACAGGAATACATTTATAGAAATTCTTAGGCCATAAATCTATTGTATAAGCTTTATCCGCAAATGTTTTCCACTTATATATTAATTCTAATACTTTTTAACCCATTACGCGATATATACGCCTTTTAACGCCTTTTTCACCCCCCCCCCCCCGTTTTTGGTGTCTCAAATGGTGAAAAAATGCCTTATTTAGCCCCCCAACACTTGTTTTTGTTTGAGAAATGTTGTTTAAAAAAGTGACCACTTTTTCGGCGCGGCCCCCAAACAAAAGATTTGGGGGTTTGAAGGGGGGCGGAGTCCCCGCTCGTGGCCAAGAAAATTTTGGACTTGTGAGAGGTTAAAAATGACCCCAGATCGATCATAAGGCAAAGTATAACCAACGCTGTAAAGCAATTTCATCTATGTCAATCCATTGAGAAGTTGAAGCACTTTGAAGTCAATTTTGGTGGAAAAAAATCAACGCCAAAAAGTGATTTTTGGCAATTTGGGGATGTCCCCTCGTTGCCATGGTAACAGAAAATTTAAGCCCGAGCATGCTGTGGCAAAGGCAATGGTCCAGTCAACATTTGTGCCAAGTTTGATTAGTATTGAAGCAGTTTTTATAGTTTTATAGCAATTTGAACTTGTAACGGGAGACTTTTCTATGAAAACAGCCATTTTTCACAAAATGCTCATGAAGTAATGGGTTAAGGCGTTTTATGACCAACAAATAAAATGACAAGTTACAATATGTGGTTAGTTTTCTTTTTCCCCTTTTCAAACGTGTTGTAAAAGTTTTACAAATGGCAAGACTAAATAAATTTGTGTAAAGTAAATATAAGCACATTGCATACCATCGTGAGACTTTATTTCGAATAGACTGGAATAGAATAAACATGTATTGGCAGAGAACAACTTTGTTTTTAGTAGAAAAGAATAGAAAGGTAGAAAGAAAGAGAATATAATAGATTAAACAACTTTTATTTTCAATCAAGTGCCAAATTTACTCAAGTTGCCCAAAACTATTTCATAATTACCAAATTTTTTGTCGCCGTATTGTCAATATCCGTTTCCTTAACTTCACTTTATTTCCAGCCATGATTTTCATGACCATTTTATCATAATAATTCTACGTCCTTTTATTTTAGAAAAAAATGTTTACCCTTTTCAGTTTTGTTTTTTGTTGAAGGCACTACACGGAGCAATTATCGACGGCTCTGTGGTGAGGTATTGTAGTGTAACCGTAATCCGGAACATACCGTTCCCGGAAGGTACAAGATTTAGTCCGGGCAAAATGAGATCGATTCCTAGCCGCCATCTTGTAAGAAGGTAATTTAGAACGACAAGATAAATCCAAAGAATCTGAGAGATATAAATAGTCATCCGTACAGGGAAAATGGTTCAAGGTAATCAGGACACTTTAATGGTGGCAGTCACTATACGAATTCACGTCAATTTCGTAGGAATTCTATTCAATCCGGAGGTAAACTAGCGATTTTCTCAACTGTAAAAACTTTGTTTTTCAAATATTGCAATCCAAGTATTTCCAATATTTGGAAGGGGGAAAGGGACTGTTGGGTTGGATTGAACAAGCCCTGTACGTTTAGATGATTTAATGTGGAAATTTGCCGAAAGTTAGTAATCAAAATACTTTTTCGGAAACTTTGGTTATTCGGACTTACGACACATGCGTTTCGGAAGGCTAAGCTTCCGCCCTGGAACAGTTACGCACATGAAAACTTAGCGCAGTTTAGCATTACTTTATATTTTAAATATTTTTGAATAATATCTTGGTAAAATTTTGATACTTTTTTTTCAGCGGTTAAGTAAGTGCAAATTATTTTTCGGGTAGTAATAAATTACCTTTAATTCATACAGTCCCTGACTGAATATACAGTAAAGTTATCTTTAATGTAAAATAATTGCAAGTCTGCTGTCTATGACTGATTGACTTGATATACTTTAGTTAAACTTAGCGATTCTCTTGTGATTTTGTTGTGATGAATGCTTTCGAGGGATCACTATGTCTCCAGATTGTTTTTTCACTGAATCCAATTGCACGAATTACAACATATTCCTGCCTAAGTCGTCGTTTTATCTTTGAGCTACAAAGTTCAAGCAAGGGAGAAAAAATGTCAGGTTGCAACAAGAAAATTTGTATAAATTTTGCATCAAAAGAAGAACTCCTTAGGATTCCGGAAATAAGTTCTAGGACAGCTATGTCTATTATTACAATCCATAATAGTGGAGAGATTATAACATTTGGAGTGCTGCAACACATGTTAGAGTGCACTTTAGATGAAGAAGAAGTAGCTCTGCTGGACTTCTCGCCAAGTATGGAGTTGCCATTAGATTGGGGGAAATACTACCTCAAGTACCATCTTCGTCAAGGAAAGCTTCTGATGAAGGAGGGGACAGTCGAACAATTTTGAACAGCTTGTTGTTGGATGTTCAAGAAAAAGCGCACTTCGATGAAGATGTTGAGGAGCCCGACATGTAAAGAAACACATTAGCAAGTGTATTGCAGAACAGTTAAATTCGAGGCTCATTTGGTTATTGCTGGGGAAGAAGCAACACAAACAGGGAGGAGTTTTCCCATAGCAACATAATCCTATGTGTTTGTCAGAGGCATGTGAAATATGATAAACAAGATAAACAAGGAAAGGCGGCGTTCAATGAACGCAACCCCATACAGCCCAGCAACAAGAACCTGTGGCAAGGAGCCAAGGGTCACAAGGGTCGCAAAAGTTCACAAGAAAGCAAATGTTTTAATGTTGAGGTTGTAGGCACAGAATCAGGTCAATGGTGCTAAAGTTAAGTGTGTTTGAAGATGCTGTAAGATTGTGAGCAGATATTGAGAATACAGATAAATGCTCTTATGGTGGAAGGGGAAATAGGGTACAGTTTTGAGTAGTTAAACAACTTTCACGAGAAGCTGTAGAGTAACTGCCACCAACAGTGCTAGTTCCAAGAGCTAGTGGTAGGTATTAAGTATTGCCAAAGTCATTAAGTAGTTCAAGTAGGTCCATGGGCCAAGTCCCACTGGCTGATTAAGGAACAGTACCTATAAATAGACTAAGTTCTATTGAGGGACATAGGTGATACTGAAGGTAAGATTCCCAGTAAGTGGAAATGTACTTCAAATGATTCAGGATATACCACCAGGTGGTCTCGGGGTGATGCAGTGACCATGGCCAGGTTTAAGAAGATGTCCTTCTAGTATTACAGGGTCAGATAGTGCAAGTCATCTGACGACATGTGAAATTGCATTTGCAGCATGAAGACTGATGGTCATGGGCAGGTTGGCGCAACAGGTCCTTTCTGAAAGTACTAGGAGGGAAAGCTGAGGTTACAGCCAAAGCAGCTGTGGATGCCTTTAATGCTGTTGGGCGATCTTATTGGGAAACAGCAGAAGCCCTCGATATTAACAAGAACAAAAGTGCAATGTTAAGTTTGTTCCTTGTTCTGTGTTAATGTGGCTGCTGTTGTGTGACAAGAAGCTCCATAAATCTGTGGTCAATACTCTACTAAGCTACAATCGGCTTAGGAACTGGACGCTGGCCACTGTCAAATAGTGCCTAGGAAGGTAAGATATCTAATATATCAGTTATCCAGTTAAGCTATCTGTTTAAAACTTGCCAGATAGGCATTTGGCAGATTATTCTTACAGGCCAATGCCTGTCCACTAATAATCTGTGTTTACAGGCCAAGCCTGTAAAGGCGGTTTTGTGGGTACTGGTTTGAAATCATCCAGGAGTGGGGTGAGGTGAGGTATGGTAGTGTAACCGTTATCTGGAACATACCGTTCCCGGAAGATACGATATTTAGTCCGGGCAAGATGAGAACGAGTCCTAGCCGCATCTTGTAAGAAGGTAATTTAGAACGACAAGATAAATCCGAAGAATCTGAGGGAAATAAATAGTCATCCGTACAGGGTAAGTGTAAGCAGAACACTTAAGCTCTCATATAAACAGACCACCAAAATGTTAAAAGCCGTCGTTTAGTATAGGGGCGGTATTCTAATATTATACAACTATTCGCATGTCGTTATTTCGAAACCACTCAGTATTTTTGAAGTGATAGAAGGAAATAATTGACAGTATGTAAATATAATTGGTCAATGTGCAGAGCAGGTTTGGTCTTCCTCAGACCCAGGTCAATGTTACACTAAGACATTCACAATACTTACTTTGAGTAGTGCTGAAAACGAGAATGCCCTTTTATTATTCATTATGTATCATAAGACAGTATATTCAAGTTTTATTTGAAGTAGATATGTATCCTTACATTTCAGCAGTTTAATCATTATACATAAGACACTTGTAGATCCAATACTGATTGTTTAGAATAAGTTAAACCGACACTTGACGACTTCTAGCTGAACTGGTGGAAGAAGACCTCAGTTGCCCATACATGCATTATTTCAGGCAGAGTGAGGATCTGAGTTAAGATCAGCGACAACCTGTAAGCTTGCTCACATGAAAAAATTCATAGTCACTGGCGGGACTCGATTCCACAGCGTTGAGTGACAAGTAGTTTGAAGTCAATGGCCTCCACTTAGGTTCTTTAACACGATAGGACTGGAAATAAAATTTTTAGATCAAAACCCAATTTGATGTAGGTCCAAATCAATAACTTATGTACTAAATTTAAGATTATTCGCTCACCTGCTTGGTCCGGAATAATAATCCTTTACTATTGTAAAAATGACCCAAAAGTTTAGGTGCCTAAACTTATTTATGTGCAAAAAATGTTTTTAGGCTTTTAAACTTCAGTGAAGATCTTTTCACCACTTGGTTCCAAATATTTGCTTTGCATTTTAATCTAACAGTAACAATTATTTAGGCATATTATTACGATTATTATGATAATAATATTAAAGAGAAAAAGCCTAGTATAACATAAATCAAAAATTTGCTATGAATAAATACATCAGTTATCTTTATAAATATTCTTCACAAAAGATATGCATCATTTCAAATCAAGTTGTAAGCCGATATTTAAACAAAGTTCTATTATATTAGATTAAGTAAATGCTGAGCCAAGTTGTCAGACATTCAATGTCTGTGGAATACATTATTATGACCGTCGGGGCTGACGACACAAACATAGTTCTAAGTTTCATATTTTAAGCATTTAAGCAATTTTCATTGTATCTTATAACTATATCAATTATCGAATGCATTTATTTTTGCAACCATTATTTAGTATTAAAATATGTTTAGTGTTAAGCTGTAAGATTTAGCAGTTGTATCTTTTTACAAATAATTTGTTATTTTTAATTATTATGATGTTATATTCTGTTGTATTTAAAAATTTACATTATTTAATTATGTAAACAAACTTTTGTTGAAGTACTAAAATGCAAAAATATGTTAATAAATTATTAGCAAGGACTGACGAAACAAACACATTTCAAGTCTCTTATTTTTATTTTTCGTAAATGACATAATTCATAACATTTAGTGTAACATTGACGGAATTTTCGCCTTACATGACTTAAAATTTTTTATGCTACTTTTTGCTGAAGATACAGCTCTTTTTGCCAATACACCTTATGCAGTACACTCAAAGTAATATGATTTGAATTCATACTTCCAAACATGGAATTTGAAAGTTAACACAACTAAAACTAAAATAAAGATATTTGAACAAGGCGGACATTCCACGTTTAACTTCACTTTTAAAAGCTTTAAATATTTAGGCGTTTATTTCTTAAAAAATAGACATTGGAGTCGGACACAAAA